GGGCTCCCCCACCTCACCCACTGTGGAGCCTGAGAAGCCAACCTGGGAGAAGAAGTTTCTGGATGACATCAAGAAGCTTCAGGAGAACCTCAAGAAGACCCTGGACAATATGGCCATCGCAGAGGAGGAGAAGATGGAGGCGGTGCCTGACACAGAACGCAAGGATGACAACCCTGAGGGGCAGTTGCTGGTGAAGGTGGAGTGGCCCAGTGAGACACCTGTGCTCTGCCAGCAGTGTGGTAGGAAACCTGGAGTCACCTTCACCAGCGCCAAGGGCGAGGTCTTCTCTGTGCTGGAGTTTGCACCCTGTCAGTCAACCATCACCTTCCCTCATCACCTCAGGTTCCTGTTTGGGTAAACAAACCTGGAAGCCAGGTGGCTTGTCCTCTCCATGTCCCTGAGCCTGCCCCACGGGACAGTGGTGGGAGGCACCTGGGCACAGGCAGCTATTCCCTACAGGCCGTGCTTCCCAGGGCAGCCGCCAGGGCCTTCTGTTAGGCACTGACTGTTTTCTTTGCCTCCAGCAAATCACTCTTTCAAGAAAATTGAGTTCCAGCCTCCAGAAGCCAAGTTCTTCAGCACAGTATGGAAGGAGATGGCTCTGCTGGCTACCTCACTCCCCGATGGCATCATGATCAAGACTTTTGAGGACAGAATGGCAAGTGGGCTAGTGGGAGTTTGGTGGAGTCAGGTGCAGGGATGCCTTGGGGTGCTCAGTGCCCAAGAGGCCTCCAGCCTGCAGTGCCTGGACCCCAAGAGTTGAGCAGCACCCACCTAGCTACATCCCCAGGGTTGGCAGCTCAGCTGAGGGCTCAAAATGGGAGTCCTGCAGACCCCAAGGACACCCTCGTGGGGCCCCATTGGCCTTCCTTTACAACTTAGCTTTACATCTGTAATTTTGACTGATCTTTCTTAAAGATGGGAGCCTCATAGAAGTGCTCAGGCTGCCTATGGCCGTCTCTTACCCCCTGTTTGCCCAAATCCAAAGCCTCCTCTCACTCCCAGAGGTCATGGGACGTGGGTGGAGCTCCTTCCAGAGGACCTTTTCTAAAAGAGAGTGCATTCTGTGTCACTCAGCACATGGTCGTCATGCACATCCCTGTTTTGCCTTCAGGACCTGCCCTGTATCTTCCTGTTCACCCAGAGTGTTCTCTCTGTTACTGAAGAGCACATTCCACTAGGCCACTCCTGTGTTAAGGACAGGCCCTCATAGAAAACGGTGTGAGAAATGGGAGGCCATGCTCTGTGTGCCAAAGAGATGCTCAGCATACGCTTTCCTTGAAGGGAAAGACAGTCTGAGAGCTGGATGGGCCAGGGCAGCAGAGCAGGCTTTGTGTTGCTGCTTGAGGTTCATTTTGTTCTTTTCGGACTGGATCCCACTCTGTAACTTAGTAGCCCAGGCTGGCTTCAAACACACAGTGATCCTCCCACCTCAGCCTCCCAAGTGCTGGGATTACAGGCATGAACCACCACACCCAGCTTGCTTGAGGTTCTTAGCAACACTTTTTTTTTCCCCTGGGTTTTGGTAAAGTTCCTTTAGAAAATTCCAGCCTATCCTGTAGCAGCTGCTCTGAGGGAGGAGGCGATCAGTTACTTTTTGTTCTGTTAGCTTTTTCCCATGTCTCAGAGACTCCTTCCCAGGGTGGCTGAGAACCCATGGGAGGGCCCTGCTCTCCAGTTG